GCACGCACGCGCACCACCACCCACTACGCACACGCGCGCGGAGCCACAGGTCCGCTACGACACGCGTCCGCCGATAGAGAAAATCAGCGCCATGGTAAGGGATGGGAGGGAGGGGTAGGATGTCAGATGTTGACGCGAGCGCACCTAACTTGTCGTCCCCCCTCCTCCCCCTCCTGGTGTGGCTCCTGGTGTTGACCCTTGTTACCTCACGGCGTTTCGCTAGAGGGCTCTATAGGGGGAGCACAACAGACTACGGAAGAGTGCCACGCGGGGGGGCGGGGAGCCCGAGGACGTTGGGTCCGGCAGCCGCTTCGCATGATAATTCTTCACAAGTCATTCAGGAATCGAGGTTTCGCTTCAATGTATCAGCCACGCGCAGAGGGGTGGGGTGGGAGGGGGGGGGCTTCTTAGAAGCACCCCTCCTTCTTAGAAGGCGCGGGCCTTATCTATAGATGTAAGGCTGGCGCCTTCTAAGAAGCAGCCTCCTTCTAATTAGCCCTCCCCCCTCCCCCCACCCCCTCGTGCGCGACGCCAAATGTAGGCTACCTTTGTCCCCTATAGCCGACCTCTTCCTCCTCGACCCGCATCGTCAACTTTGTCGCTAGCAGGATGCGTTGCTGGGGCAATCGTCAACCTCATCCATGCCTTCTCTAGTTCACGTTCGCGTGCCCATCAGTCTGCAGCGTCGCAGCGCTTCCCTCAGGCAGAAGCAGACCCTGCTACCAGCAGAGCAAAGAAGAAGAGAAAGCACCAGGCTGAGGAGGAGAAAGATGAGGTCTTCCCGGTCGTGCCCTCAGAGGAGGACGACGAGGACCAGACTCCCGATGGGAAGGGATGGCACAGGATGAGAGCGAGGGAGGAGGAGGAGGAGGAGGAAGAGGAGAGCGAAGGCAAAGGCCGAGAGAGGGACGAGGAGTGCAATAGACGTGTGGGGAGGAGGTAACATGTTTCAGTTGTCATTGCTCGATGTGTTTGCTACACACATGCCCAGCACTTGGAACTGTGTTACGCGTTGCGCAGCAGGCGCGTCACATGTCAATGTCTGCACTCACGTCAGCTCTTTCTTGCCTACGCACGTTGTGTTTGAGGTCCTTGGCAGGGGAACGCAAAACGAAGGTCGGAGTCATCATGCGCATCGCCTTAACATCGCACGCACTGCAAAGTTGCTTCCCTTGCGCGCACGGCCAGGGGGCATCAGGCAAGCTGCAGGAAGAGAGTCCTAGGACGTCGCGCACTCCTTTCTTCTCAAAGCGTGCAGCCGCCGAGCGTGAAATTACACTGCGATCATCAGAGGTACGCCCACAGTACCGGAGTACATTTCGATCCGTTTCGATGTAGATCCTAGCCAACCCGATGTTTGCGGCGCTCACTTAGTTGCTGCACTGGGCTGGCCTGCGCAGTGTCTTTACCGCCACCGTGAATCTGCCTACCGATGTCGCCGGGGCCGCCAGAGAGAAGCTACGCGAGAATTCGTGAATCGTAGTCCCGAATCGGAGGACGAGTCTTCAAAGCGTTATCCATTTCGCAGGGGATCTCTTCCCCGCATTCCCGCATCCCGCAATCCCGAAAGCCCCACAAAGTTGTTGGGAATTTGATTCACCATGCCCCTCGTTTCCACTACCTCTCCTCTGGCGCCGCCTGTTCTTTGCGACGCGGGCCCCTTGAGAGGGAACTCCCCTTCCCCGGGGCATGCTTTCCTCCAGAGTCGCCAGACCCTTTAGAGAGCTTGCCATCGCGATTTGTTCTACGACGTCCGGACCGGAGGGCTCTTCGGGGACGGCAGAGTGTGCTGTCAAGCGGCCGGTGCCCGCGCTGTCCTTGGACCACTCTCGTCGCATCTTCCAGCCAGTGAGGAACGAAGAATGTGCTGTCAAGCGGCCAGTGCCCGCGCTGTCTTTGGACCACTCTCGTCGCATGCTCCAGCCCGTGAGGAACCGGATCTGCGGGATCCCGACGCGCCGGCGCGCGCCGCTGCCCGCCGGGGCCCTGGCTGCGCGCAGTGGCGCCTTGGAGAGCCGGGATGGGCTACCTGCCGTCCGCGGGTGCCCTGCCTTGGGCGGAGATCCAGGGCCTGACGAGCGGGCGGGGGGCCGCGGCCCAGCTGCGCCAGGTGCCGCGCCCACCCCGCCCAGCCAGAGCAGCAGGGTGGCGAGCGCGGTCGCGGGCCCCTTTCGTCGACCAGGGCGTCGAGACGGGCCGCTCCAGTCCGGCAGGCCTCTCGGCTGCGCGCCACCCGCCGAGTCTGGGGTGGCAGGGGCCGGGCCTCCAGCGTCCTCGCACGCCCAGGGTCGCGCGGCGCGCCTGCTGCGTGGCTGGCGCGCTCGCGAGGGCGGCTGGGCCATGGCCGCTGCTGCGCGAGGGTCCGCGGCGGCCTCGCACGGTTCTCAGCGCGGCCATTTGCCTCCTCGAGCCCCCGCTGACGCCGTGGCGCGGAGGCGGTGGCATGCACCTCAGCGTCGGCTGCCCGAGCCCTCCGGGCGCGCGGCATCGAGGACGGCAGGCCCTGCCAACTTTGCCGAGGCGATGCCGGGTCGCAGGAAGGATGACGAAGCAGCTGCGCTGCCTGCCACGCGACGCTCAGCCACCATTGGCAAGGTGCTCCGCCATGACTGGGGGCATCACGAGCGAGTGCTGCCGCTCCCGAAAGCCAACCTCCCGGTTGTTCGCTTTGGTCTGGAGCTCATTGCTGGTTCTGGGGGCTCCCCCGCCGCCTGGGTCTTCCGGTTGCGTAGGTCGACCTTCGACATGGTGAGCAGTGCGACTTGACGGCGCCGAGTGCGCAGAAGTTGGTGCGAGGGTGGAAATCAGGATCCGTGGCGATTGCTGCGTAGACGGGGGCGGAGGAGGAGGAGGAAGAGGAAGAGGAGAAGGAGGAGGAGGAGGAGGAGGAGGAGGAGGAGGGGCGCTCCAGCTTCTCTCGCGCTCGTAAATCGGAGTGGGGGCCGCCCCGACGGCGAAGCGATGATCAGGCGCCTGGCCTGCCCAATGTGCCAATTTGCGATCAGGGGAAAGTGCGAGTGGGAAACATTATTCGAAGAAGGAAAACGCATGAACATAAACTGTTGGCGCTCCGCGCGGATCCAAGAAATTTGCGCGGAGCGCCACAAGTTTATGTGTATGTGTTTTTTCTTTTCCTAATTATGATGATGTTCCTGGCGTCTGCCTGGAGGATGCGGCCATTCCCAGTTGCACCCAGTTGCACCTTGTGCGTTGGAAAACCCAGCCATCACAGTAGAATGTGGCCTTGGCCCGCTCTCGCTGCCGCGAGACGCTTGCGCCCCATTCGATTCATCCGCACTGATTGTTGCATGGTTGGCAAGCCTTGAGGGAAGCACACAAACATCTTCATCGTCCATGTCGACATCACGGCGTGCTCGGTTGCGCACTGGTCGAGGCATTCGCAGTGTGAGTCTGAAGCCCCCTGTCGAGTTCTCTGGTAAGTTTAACGGCGTGTTTCGAACCTTGATCGCGGTGCCCCACCCTCCGTGCCGCTGCGCAATAACATTGCACACTGTTTTAAACAAGTCCTGGCCGCAACTTACAGGTAGGGGCATTGTGATGTTTGATCCGATGCCTCCAGTGGTAAGTCCTGCGACTCAAGAGTTTGAGCCTCTCTGAAACCAGTCGAGAGGTTATTCGTGTGTGTTAGGCCGCTGGCTTCCACACCCCCAGGGCGAAGCGCCGCCACAACGACGCATCGCCGCCGGCCAAGCACCAACGAGCGGCGGGCACAGCTTGGTAGACGATCCTCGTGTATCAGCGCAGTTGTGAGTTGAACTCCTCATGTCAGGCAGCGGCAAAGTGCATTGCCATTCAATGAATGCACTTGGTCGCCTATAACCGGTTGGGCTGCCTTGATCCGCCCGCCCTGCCTTGATTCCCATGGATGTCTTGGGGTGTGGGCCTCCTCTGAGGCTGGTCCAGAAGGCTGTTGATGTCTGTTGAGTCTTCGGTCTCCGCATTCCCAGGGGGACATACTGACGCCACGGCAGATCGCTGCTGGCCTGGAAAGGAGAGCAGCACGCACATCTGGACGTGCGTGTTCGCCAGCGCGGGTCCCCGAACAGTGAAGTATTCCATCGTGGAGGTGGAAGCTCTGCGGTGTGAGCTGCGCGGTGTGAGCTACGTGGTGGAAGCGATGGTGTGTGTTGTGAAAGCTAGGCTGCGCCCGCTATGCAGTGCAAGCTAGGTGGATTGACCTATCTGGTGCAAGCCATGCTGTGTGAGCTATGTGGCGCAGGTCGGGTTGCGCAAGCTGTGTGGGGGAAACTCTGCAGGGCAAGCTGCGTGCTGTGAAAGGTGAGGTGCGGGCCGTGCGGCGTGAGCCGTGCGGTGCACATGCCGTGCAAGCCGTCGGTGCGACCCGTGTGCTGCGAGCGGTGCGGTGCACTGCACCCGCGGGCGGGCACCAGGCGAGGAGACTCCGGCAGGCCCCCCCCCCAGCGCAGGGCGCCTGCGGGGTGCCCACGGGCGGGGCAGCGGTCGAAGGCCTCGGCATGCCCCCCCCACGGGGCGCGGGGGGGGGGGCGCCCACGACGTGCCCACGGGCGGGCACCGGGCAAGACCTCGACACGGCCCCCCCAGGCGCGGGGGCGCCCACGCGGCGCCCAGGTGGGGCGAGCGGTGGCCCCAGGCCTCCAGTGGTCCCAGTTTTGTTCCAGAACGCGGGGCCCCAGGCTCTCGATCCCTCCACTCGCAGGCGATGTCTAGCCCCCGATCCCCGAATTCCCCTCCCCCCCCCCCCAAGAGAGCATGCCGCATTGAGAAGAGGGGGGGGCACGGGGATACACTCCCAGGGGGCGGTTCGGACGCACCCCTGTCGAGGATGGGCGCGCCCCCCCATCGTGCATCCCCGAGTTGAGCGCAATTCGTTCTTCCAGTCGAACGTCCCTGAAAGTCGGGATCGAGGGAGGGAGGGAGGGAGGGAGAGAGGGAGGGTCGCCACAATGTTAGCGCCAGAGTGATGCGGGGAGCGGGTTCCCCCTCCCTCTCTCAGAGCGGGGGGGCAGCGCTCCCGGCGGCGAAAGAGGTCTTCTTCCTCCCCCGCGGTACTGTGACCCCCAGCCGGCGTCTCAGTCGCGGCGATGTCGAGAGACGTGATTCGCGTGATGCCGAGCGACGTGGCTCCAGTTGGTCTTGGGCCGCTCAAGCATTTGTCAGATCGGACCCCGAGGTCTTTGCGTAGCTCTTGGACTCGCATGGCGCGCCCGTTATCCCCAGGGACGAGGAGCCAGGGTCCTACGTCATTATCCACCCTTTCCCTTTCCAGTTGACGGCCCCAGTCCATGAGGAGCCAGGGCCCTACGTCATTCTCCTCCCTTTCCCTTCCCTCGCTTCTTCCTCTGCCGCTCGTTGCCGCGAGGGCCCCCCGTCGTGGCTGAGGGTGGCATGCGCTACCACCCCGAATACACCAAGGGTCCGGTTCGGGCCGGTTCGGGCCGGTTCGGCGGCGGCCCGGTTCGGTTGCAGCGGTTCGGCTTCGGCGGTGGTCCGGTTTGAGCCGGTTCGGTTTTGCCTCGGGGCGGGTACGGTTTCGGGCGGTCCGGTTCGGGTGAGGAGGGGGGGGAGGAGGAATGGGCCGAGGAGGAGGAGCAGGAGGAGGAGGAGGAGGAGGAGGAGGTGGGGGCCTCCGGTGCGGTTTAGGCTACGGTTTGGGCGGTTCGGTTGGAGGGGCCGCCGGTTCACGGTTACCAGTTTGGTTCAGACCCTTCCTGCGAATAAGAAAAGCATCGCCTCGCTTTTAACATTCGATGTTCAAACGGGGTCCACAGAAATCCCAGCCCTTCGTCCAGGGCCAGCTTCTTATCCCGAGCAGTTTTGGTTGACGGCCCTGGGGCCTTGGACAGGGCTCCCGGAGTGCCAACAACGGCCCCAACAAAAACAAAACAACGCCCTGAATGTGTTAAAAGTCGTTGGATGCACGGGTCGCCGTGCCGAGGCGGGGAATTGTCCATACTCCAGATTTCGTAATAAAGGGAGGGGGGTCTCATTTCGGGGGGGGTCTCTTCCAGGCTATCTTGGAGGGCCTGGGGGGTCTGGGGACGATGTTTTGGAGAGTTCTCCCACGGGGGAGGTCTGAAATGGCTTGTCTTGGAGGGTCCAGACCCCCTCCCTTTTATTACGAAATCTGGAGTAATCATCGCATGAGCTGTCGATCTTCGGGAACTTGGGCAGGCGCTGGATGTGGATATACGCCAGGGCCCTGTGGGGGCTAAACCTATATGTCCACGGCCACCGCCTGCCGAGGCCCCAGGAGATCGGCCCCCCAGGCGGTGGTCCTGGCAGCCAGGCAGTGGCAGGGAGGGTAGGGCCTGGATTTTTAAGTTAGAAAACTGTACATGCGAGCGACCTTTCATCCGATGCTTCTGTGCAGTGCCATTTCGGCTGAAGAGCCCCTGGAGGGCGAAAGCTACCTGCGCTTGGCACACAAAACACATCAGCATCCGAGCAGGCTTGATAGTCCTTTCGATCGGGGGATAAGACCCCGCCTCGCAGTGGTCTGCTTGCCGTCGTCTTGGCGTGCTTCTTCTCCCCCGCCGGAGCCATCGGCGGCCTGCAGCGCCGCCAGCAGCGCGAGCGCGGTGGCTTTCGGACCGCCCGGGAATTCTCTGGGCATCGGCGCAACGCTCTTGGCGAGGCGCAGCTATGGGAGGGCCTCCCGAGGCTGCAAGACCACCGAGGCCGACGAAAGCGCCATAAAGTCAGGGGGCGAAGAACGGGACAACATAAGCTCTTCCGACGCCGGGGATCGCCCCCCCCCCGGGCGACTGGAAGGTTTACACCCCTACGTGGCACCGTAAGAGTATAGACGTCCCAGCCGCCCGTGGGGCAGAGGCGCCCCCGACGGCGGCAAAGTTTATGTTATGCCGCGCTTCGCCCGCTAAAGAAACCTCGAGCATCGACCGCGGCCGCAGGAGCCCGCCGGCGCCATCGGCGGCGTGTCGGCGGGCGGCTTCAGCATCTCCGCCGAGCTCGAGAAGGAGTACGAGCGGATGATGGGCCGCGCCCTCGGGGGGGGGGCGGGCCCACCGCGTTTCGCGCGGCCACGTGCCTCGCAGATGGCACCTGCTTCGCCGGGCGGTGCTTTTGTGATCTTCGGCCTCTGTGGGCCATCGCCGCTGTTCTGGGCTCCGGCCTGAGGCTGTCTGGGCCGACTGCATGTGAGTTCGCGCAGGCACTCCTGGGCACCCTCCTCGGAGGTGGGCCGCGCACTTCGCTCGCGACCGGCTCGGGTGTTCTGTGCTGGGCGATGAAGGCCATCGCCGGGCCCTGGGACCGTTAAAGGACGAGTCAAGGTGAAAAGCCGGTCGCAAGGAAGGGGCCGAGACGATGGGGACTGCACGCTGTGGGAAAATCACGACGTCTGGGCCCTGGGCCCCCGAGGTCTTGGCCTCGCAGTTTCTTCGCGCCGGGCGTCTTCGCCCAATGATCGGCCCTGAGGCCCTCACAACCTGATCCTGCCAGAAAAATTGACGCAGAAAGCTGGGTCCTGGGCTCTGCACATGGTCAGGATGCTCGACGATGTTGCAATGTTTGTCGAGACGTCGGATCTCCGGGGCCCGACAGATGGATGTGTGCAGTGGGGGCGCTGTTCCTGCATTTCGGATGGAGGAGGTGGGAGGAGGAGGAGGCGGAGGAGACGGAGGAGGAGGAGGAGGAGGAGGAGGAGGGAAAAAGGAGGAGGCAAGATGAGGGAGGAACAGGGAGGAAAAGGGAGGAGGAAGAGGAGCAGGAGCAAGAGGAGGAGGAGGAGGAGGAGGAGGAGGAGGAGGAGGAGGAGGAGGAGGCGGCAGTCAAGCCGGACTCAAATCCAGGATGGAGAGATGGGACCGTGAATCGACCAGAGTCATATCGGCGGACGTTTGGATATACATATCTATATATATATATACATATCTATATATATATATATATATATATATATATATATATATATATACATAGCACCATGCGTGGCCACGGCCATCCTGGGCACTAGGATGGGTCTCAGGAGGGCATATGCCATGCCAGGCCCCAGGAAGACCTGGCCGGGCATGGTGGTGATGCACAGAGGTGGCTTCTGAATGTTTAAGAGCCGTCGTTCCGCTTCAGACCTCGATCGTCGAGGATTAAGCCCCCTCCGCTTCCGCCACTTCGGCCTTTCTGCTTTGGACGAACGCTGGATGGCGTGAGCCGTCCGTCGCGTCTGAAGGGCCGCGATCCGAACAACAAATCTGAACGCAGCGCTCGATCGACTTCAAAGCTACGCCACCAGCGCGTGCACGATGGGATCTCGGAGGGCGAAGAACACTGGACAGGAAGAGAGGCCCGCCGCGGCACATGGCAGCGCACAACGGCAAAGATGCCCCAGAACCTCCCGCACACCAAACTCCGTGGACATGGGGGCCCTTCCCTGGCCGGGGTGCACGCAGACAATCCGGCCGAGGCTAGCGGTGGACCGCCCCTTGTGGGCCGCCCGCTCGGCATCCAGTGCGAGAAAGACGCGGGGGGCAGGAGTTCCACCCCACCCCCAGGCCGTCGACCCCGGCCCAGCCCGCGCTCCCCCCAGAGCGCAGGGGGGGGGGCCCTATTCGCGCCCCTCCGGCGCGCTTGCCGCAAGCCGCACCCCTGCCCTCCCAACGAGCAGCCGCAGGCCGTTGCGCCCCGCCGTGGCCGCTGCAGCCGCCGACGTATCCCACCACCACCACCCCACCGCCCGCGGATCTCCTGGCACGCGGGCGGACTGCTGGCACACTCGGTCCTCCGCCATCGGCCTCACGGGTCTTCTGGCCCGGAGGCCTTGAGGCAGAGGTCAGTGCAAACGGGGGTCAGCCAGAGTGCCCGATCTTGCAGGATCCTGCGGGGCCAGGGTCGCATTGACCCGGGCTTGGGTGCAGGATCCTGCAGGATCTTGCAGGTTCCTTCGCATTAACCCGGGTTTGGGTGCAGGATCTTGCAGGATTCTGCAAGGCCTGACTGACCCAGATCTGGATTGACCCCGGTCAGAAGAACCCCGACTGGCCCCTTCGCCCGCACACACACCCTGAGATCCGACGTTGGAAAAAATGCGACACAGTTAAACATCACGCCCAGAATCCTAGACCCATCTTTCTGCGTCGTTCTTCGAGCCGGATCGACCTGTGAGGTTCCTGGGGCCCGACCTTGAGCGAAAACGCCAGTTGCGAAAAACTTGAAACGCGATCTCGGGGACCCCAGCGCCTATATCCCTGCTCCTCCCGACCCTCCCCACGAGCAGGCGTTTTTTTTCCTGAGAGCACTGAGCTGCCGTGGAGAGGCCGCGGTGCCAAAGACAGCACTGAGCTGCCGTGGACAGGCCAGGTGGCGCAGCTTCTGAGCACCATGCACCCACAGGCTGCAGGACCCGAAGGGGGCTCCTGCAGACAGAGACCTGCCGCAGCCCCACGAGCAGGGGCGGCCCTTGCCCGCCGCAGCTCCGCCGCAGCGGGCGCGGCACGCGGCGCGCGGCACGCGGCCGCGCCCCGCGGGGCGCGCGGTGCCCTCTCGCCGCCCGAGGCCGGGCCCGGCGGGCCTGCGTTGCACTTCCGCCTCGATCCTCGATCCCCCGCCTCTCCTCCTCTGCCTCCTCCTCCGGCTCCTCCGCCTCCGCCTCCCCCTCCGCCTCCTCCTCCTCCTCCTCCTCCTCCTCCTCCTCCTCGTCCTCCGCCTCCTCCTCCTCCGCCTCCTCCTCCTCCTCCGCCTCCTCCTCCGCCTCCTCCTCCTCCTCCTCCTCCTCCTCCTCCTCCTCCTCCTCCTCCTCCGCCTCCGCCTCCTCCTCCTCCGGCTCCTCCGCCTCCGCCTCCCCCTCCCCCTCCTCCTCCTCCTCCGCCTCCTCCGCCGCCTCCTCCTCCGCCTCCCGCGCACAGCCCTGCAGACAGCAGTGGTCGTGGTGATCAAAGCAGCGCACGTGCACGTGTGAGAAGCGAGAAGGCACAAGCAGGCGGTTGGAATCCGATGAGACGTCAGGCGCTGGTGTCCTGCAGCGCCGCCTCGAGCGGCTCGGACCTCACGTACCCACTGTATGGGCCAAGTGGCATGTAGAGAAAAGCGAGCTCGGACTTGGGCGGACAAAACTGATCACGAGGGCCGACATGCGCATGGCTCGCGATCACCTCACAGAAACTCTCGGCCAGAACTCGGCACAACGAGGGCGGGTATTCATTTGGATTCGCCAGACGGAAGCCTCCAGGAGCGCCGAAGGCGCCAGGGATCCCGGTCCAGCCCCCGACAAGTTCATCCCCTGAAAACTAGCACGGCAAGCGAGCAGGCTCCCCCGAGGTACACAAGTCAAATTGGACAGACTCCGAGAAACTCATGAACCAGTTTGCCTCGGGCAGTACCTACAGTGAGAGCATGTATTGATGAGTGGGGAAATCCGAAGAGCCAAGACAGAAGGCAGTACGGTCGGGATCTTTTGGGCAGCGCGTGGATCCGCCAGTTCTGGCCCACCACGCTTCGGCGCGACACGCTGTCCACCCCCCCAGTCCACAGGCGTGCACGTCCCGAGCTTTCCCGGCCTCCCGCCTCGCGGAGCGGAGCGGCACGCCAGCCGCTCGCCAGGCACAGCGTGCCGCCGGAGCCGCCGCGGCGACATGCCGTCCCAAGTCGGGGCTCGAGTGACAGGGGTCAATGCAAGCGGGGGTCAGTCGGAGCGCTGGATCTTGCAGGAGCCAGGGTTACAGTGACCTGGGCTCGGGCGCAGGATTCTGCAGGATCCTGCAGGGTCCTGCACAGCCTGACGGACCCGAGTCTGGATTGGCCTGGGTCAGTAGATCCCCGACCGAAGTTCCTGACCATACCTGCATGCTTTGCTAGAGTCGAATTGCTCTGGCAGCCCTGGCCTCGGCGTTCACGTTCTGCACTTCCTCTGCCACCGTCGCAGACACCGGCGCAAACCCCCAGGGCCTTAGAGACCAGCGCACAGGCCTTGGAGGCTCGGTGGGCAGGCTGCTCCCTCCAGGTGCTTCAGGCAGGCAAGGCGCAAGTCCCAGCAGTCCGCGTGTCAACCATGCAGCTGCACGTCATAGCACGAGCCTGGGCCTCGCGAGCCTGATCGGGGGGGCACACACGGAACAGGATCTCGAACGCCAAGTGCGCGCTCCTCAAGCCGCCACTGAAAATCAAATAGACATTGCCGAGCACTGGGAATCTGCACAACGCACACTGCTGCCCACAGGCCTGAGACCTTGCGGCAGAGGGGCCGACGCGACCTCCACGGGCACGGGAACACAACCAACACGGGCTACGACACGCGGGCGACGAGCAGCTTGGGCCGCACCTTTCAAGTTTGCTGCGACAGATTGCCGAGGGGGAAGCGTGCCTTCTCCTCATCGTATCACTGTCGCCGCAGGCTCTGGTCGGGGGCAACGATAGGGGGGTATAGGCATAGAGGGGGATGCATTGATCCTCAATCGCCCACTGATCGCCGATAGGGGCCCGACCCGCCCCGCCGTATCGCCGATTCCAGGTCGATGCATCCCCCCTATGCCTATCCCCCCCTGTCCTTGCCCCTCATCTGGGACAAACAGCATCCGCGAACCGAGCCTCCTCAAGCTGCGCAGCTGGCGCAGGAGGGCTGATAGCGGCAACAAGAATTGCAAAACAAGGCTTGGAAGCGTGTCTGAGGTTCTTCAGCAGACGTAAACGAGTCTAAATCTGAGCAACAGGCAGGAGAAGTGCGAGCCCAGAGCATATTGCCCCGCGGGGTCAGGCTCGGATGAGCCTTGGTCCCATGGACGGCCCATGCCGCTTCTGTGTTCAGCGTAGCATCACAATCCCGACAAGGTCAGGCAAAGGATGGAGGGGGAAGCACCACCGAGGAGGGAGGAGGGAGGAGCATGGCCTGGTAAAGTACACAGATCACGAATCTCATCATGCCGTTGACCGTTCACGCTGACACATCTGACCATCATCAACACGCAAGCTTGCCCTCCCGGCCTGCCTACGAGTCCGTTTTCGAAATCGAACCTTCTGTGCACGAGCGAGCGAAATCCACCACCTAGGCGGCCCTGCCGGCATATGCTCCCTGGACAGTTGCAGAAGGTTTGGCAAGAGCTCCGACCTGCCCCACATTCGGCTGAGGCTACACCGAACAATTGTAGAGGAGGTGCGACTTGCAAAGCTTGTGGACGAACGCGAGCTTGCGCGGCACGTGCAATGCCGTACTACCAAAGACCGTTCGCCTTAGGGCATCCAGGATACAGGTACTTGGTAGCGAGCGCTCATTTCACCCCGAGCTTGCTTAGCGGGAGCCCTTGAGGGAGCAACCTTGCGAAATCTTCCGTGGCCTTCCTGGAACCCTTGCCCACGAAGAGGGGGGGCAACTCCTCATCGTCCTCTTCTTCTTCTTCTTCTTCTTTTCTTCCTCCTCCTCCTCGTCCCCCTCCTCCCTCCCCCCCCTCCGAGGCCGGGCCAAGCAGGACCTCGAGGTGATGCGGCGGCCCGCGGAGGCGGAGGTGGAGCAGCGCCGCCAGGAGGCACAGTCGTTGAAGACGCAGCTCGAGGCCGCCGCCGCCCGCCATGGGCCTCTGGGGCGGCCGACGGCGAAACAGCCCCCTCCACCTCCAACTCCTCCACCTCCGCCGCCCTCGCAACCCGCTCCTCTTCCTCCCCTGCCGCCGCCTCCCCTTCCTCCTCCTCCTCCTCCTCCTCCTCCTCCTCCTCCTCCTCCTCCTCCTCCTCCTCTCTCCTCCTCCTCCTCCGTCCCCTCCTCCTCTCCTCTTCCTCCTCCTCCTCCTCAACCCCCTCTCCTCCTCATCCTCCACCTTCCCGTCCTCTTCCTCCTCCACCTCCTCTGCCGCTTTCTTCTCCTCCTCCTCCTCCTCCTCCTCCTCCTCCTCATTCTCCTCGTCCTCCTCCTCTCCCTCCTCCTCCTCATGTTCCTCCTCCTCCTCCGCCTCCTCCCCTTCCTCCTCCTTCTCCTTCTCCGCCTCCTCATCTGCCGCCGCTTCCACCTCCCTCTTCCACCTCCCTCCTCCGCTTTTTTTTGAGAGGACAAGTTGTGCAGTTGCTGCTTCCTGGTGGGAAAAGATAGTACCGACTCAGGCGCAGTGGTCCGTAAACGTAGCCTTAGCTGAGCGCAGTTGAAAACTTGCTCCTGCACCCCTGGACTCCTGGACTCCTCCTCGTCCTCCTCCTCCTCCTCCTTTGCTCCGCCCTGCCTGCCTGCCCACTCAATATTTGAATTCGGACGCGACTCCGACTACGATGAGTCGTTATCACGACCCGATGTCCACCGATTGAACGTCTTAAGATCCCGTGTTTCACCTTAGCATACGGCCGAGCATTGTGCTTCGCCATCCTGCCGCGGCGACCTCGAGGCCCACCTGATGTTCCCTCGAGCTGCCAAGCTGGCCATCGGCGCCAACCACTAAGAAGTCACCTGCTGCTCCCAGTTACGTGCGTCACTCCTCCTCCTGCTGCTCCTCCTCCTCCTCCACCTTCTCCTCCTCCATCCCTGTTCGCGCGACCCTTGTCGCCTCGTGAAACGTCCCAGAAACGTCTCCTCCATCCCTTTTCCTTGATAAAAGTAGCTCCTTGTCGCACCCCCACACGTGTCGGTAAGTATGGCGGGCCGGGCATATCGCTTGAGATTCTTTTCCACGTGTGGCATTGAGGCTTGAAATGTGCAACAGCTTCACGTATGGAGGGCGGGCAGGTTTCAAAATGCGGTTCTCGCCTCAGTGCCGCGCTCATTCGTCTTAAGAGTTTGCAGCAACTTCACGGATGGTTGGCGACCCTTGCTTAATGTGTGGCCATCGCATTAGCGCCGCGCACATTCATTATTTAAAATGGTGCAACAGCTTCTCGGATGGAGGGTGGTTCCTTTTCAACATGTAGTTCTCGCTTCAGCGTCTCACACACTCGTCTTCAAAGCGTACAAAAGTTTAGAGGATTCTTAGGACTGACGGCCCAGAGGCGGTGTTCCAGCACGATTTGGGATTGCCAGGGCACAACAGTCACGCAGTCACCCTCGGAATGTTGTTATGGGACGATCTGTTATTGTCAGGACGCATCAGCCACGTTGATTTGCAGCGCTGAAGCCCCAGGAATAATTCTTGGGCACGAGTAAGGATTATCAGACGGTTGTCTTCCAGTCGGACACTTCCCTCAATGAGAATATATTATTGCAGGCACTTATGAAGGGGGAACCTGGAGAGAGGGTTGATTGCAACATCGTTGGTGCGTCCTGGGTTTGCACTTGTCCTCCTCCTCCTCCTCCTCCTTCTCCTCTTCCCGCCCTCCCCACCTTGCTTCGGCCTCGTGGCTGGCAGGAAATATCTAGCACATCTCGTCCTCCTCCGCCGTCCTCATCCATCCCCTCTCCCTCGAGGGCGCGAAGTTACTCGCGCTTCGCGGTTCGGCTCCAACTCCTCATCATCCTGTCTTCTCGCTTGGAGGGCGGCGCGAGAGCACGAAGCTTTTCGCGCAGCGCGAAGCGCGAAAGTTTGGCGCCCTCGCCTCCCTCTCCGTGCCCGCCGCGCATGCCCGCGGATGCGCGAGCGGGAGTCCTGCGCCAGGCCCGCGCTCCCAGGTCGCGCGCTGCATCCTCCCGCGCGCGCGGGAGCGTGCGACGACGACGAGGACGACCACGACCACCACGACCATGACCACGACGACAGCGACCGCGACGACGACGACCGCGACGACGACAATAACGATGACATTGATGACGACGACGACGAAGACGACGACAACGACGACGACGACGACGACGACGACGACGGCGACGACGACCTCGCCCGGAACCAGGGCCCAATCCCGTTCGAGGATAGGGGTCCGACAAGGTTTCGAAGGTTTTGTGGCGAGCCTCTGAAGGCCTCCTTGTCGCCAGGGCGGGTCTCGGGGTCGATCCTGTTGGGTCTAGGCCTCCCCTTTTCGACTCCACGTAAGAGAGACCCTTCGCTGGAGTGACCTTTGGTGCGGGCCCATTGGGGTCCCCCGATCGCCAAACGCGAGCCGGCAGAGGCGTCTTGCGCGCTTGGGTTTGGCCCCCTTCGCGTGTCGCCGACCTTTGGGGTCCGCGTAGATGGGGTCGGGGGATCGCGTCGCATCGCCGATGCATGAGCAGTGCGGCTCGATGAGGAGCAGCCCCATTGTCTGCATGCCGAAGTTGCTGATGCATCGCCGACGTCGCAAGTACATCGACGATGATGCTGCGCGATCCTCCGACCCCATCTACTCCGACCCCACCTGGGAGGCCTTCATCGGGGGGGGCATTCACACCCTCGCGTCGCGAAACAATCGCGGCAGAAGGTTTGTGGCCATTTCCGGTCTCCGAGGGCCCCTGGGACCGTCGGGAAACGACTCGGGATTGAAAGCCGGTCAATGGGAAAACGTCGAAATTGCAGGGGCCCACGTCACGATACAATGCTCGAAGCAGAAGAAAAACCACACACACACACAGAAATATAAACTTTTGGCGCTCCGCGCGGATTTCTTGGATCCGCGCTGGGCCCCCCTGGCGGCGCCTCCGGCGCCGCCCCTGGCGTGCTCCGCGCGCCAGGGAGGGGGGTCCGGCGCGGATGCAAGAAATCCGCGCGGAGCGCCGACAGTTTGTGTTTACGTGGTTTTGATGTTTCTTCTAAATGCGACGTCGGAGGGGGAGGACCCCCGATCGACGAGCACGGGGAGGAGAGAGAGGGCGGTCGGTCGGTCGGGCGCGGCACTGCAGCGGCCTGCGGGCCTTCTAGAGAGTGCAGCCCCCGAAGCCCAGGGCTGAGGGCAGGGCGAAGGAGGCGGTCAGATCTCGCCAGGAGGAAGGGGAGCGGGTCGGCTCGGGATGAAGGCCCGGTGTCAGCCGATGCAGTATCAGGCGAGCGCAAACATGAACTTGAGGGGGCGTGGATTCGCGACGGGCCCCGCTTCCACGGGAGACTGCGGACTTCCGCCGCCGAGCGAGGCGGCATTGGCCGCACTTTGGGGGAGGGCACCTCCCTCGATCCATGGATTTGGCGACCGCGCGCCAGATCCATGAATCGCTAATCCATGTCTGCGCACCCCCGAAGAAGGGGGAGCGGAGCGGGTCGGAAGCAAGGCCCAGTGTCAGCCTATGCAGTACAGTCGGGGCCCTGAAGAAGGAACCATTTTGGTTGGGGAGGGGCTCCGCGTTCCTTAAGTGTTTCACAGCTTGTCTTGGGTTTTCCTTAGGGTTTCGATGGGAAATCGAAGATCAACTTATGGGATTATCCCGGCAAAGCAACCTAACAGCGATGTGTAGAAGCATAGCTGGAAACATTGCCTGTGGTATTCATGTAAGAGTGCTGTTGTAGAATTCTGGTGTTCTCGCAGTCGCATTCGGATTCGCAGTGGCAGTCGCAGTGGCAACATCAGCGGCAGTCGCAGTGGCACTGCCAGTAGTTGCAGTAGCAATAGCTACACTAGCAGCAGCAACAGCAGCAGCAGTAATAGTAACAGTAGTAGTAGCAGTAGAAGTAGTAGTGATGGTAGTAGTGGTAACAGTGAAGTGGTAGCTGTAGTGTGTGGAGTGAACGAGTAGGAGTGATGGGAGCAGTGGTAGTAGCAGTAGAAACACTGCTTTCGATAACGGTATCTCCAAATCAGATCTTTGTATAAATGCATTGATGTCTAAACAAGACACTGCTATCAACGGATGTGATTCCAAACGAGACACTGCGATCAACGGGTTGAGCCTCAAACGACACACTTGCATCAATGAATGTAGCTCCAAAACAGGCACGCCCATGAATGGATTTAGTGTGATGTCGTAGTAGTAGTAGTAGTAGTAGTAGTAGTAGTAGTAGTAGTAGTAGTAGTAGTAGTAGTAGTAGTAGTAGTAGTAGTAGTAGTAGTAGTAGTAGTAGTAGTAGTAGTAGTAGTAGTAGTAGTAGTAGTAGTAGTAGTAGTAGTAGTAGTAGTAGTAGTAGTAGTAGTAGTAGTAGTAGTAGTAGTAGTAGTAGTAGTAGTAGTAGGTAGTAGTAGTAGTAGTAGTAGTAGTAGTAGTAGTAGTAGTAGTAGTAGTAGTAGTAGTAATAGTATCGGCACGGACCCGTAAGACCTGAGTCTCCACCGGGGTGCTCGGCGAAGCCATTGATGATGATGATGATGATGATTGAGGAGGATGATGGGATGATGACCGCGCTACTTGGATTTGTTCTGTCCGTCTTTCTCGGCCTCCAACCAAATCTTGGAAGACATCTCGCAAACGGAAGAGGAGCGCACTGAGGAGCGGCGCGTGAAGCGGACAGTCGGCAAAACTTGCAGGCTGAGAAGCACCGCAGAAACTCGGAGGCTGAGAAGCACCGCGGCCGCGCAGTCCTACTACTGCTGGAACTAGGATTACAAGTACGCACGCCGAGAAGCACCGTGGACACGCGGGCTCGGATACTTCACCTCTCCCGCTTGCATTGCAGGAAATCGCGCCAATCCGGCGGCTGGCAAGTACCGAGGCGCAGGCTGAGAAGCACCGCGCGAGTGCAGGCTGAGAAGCACTACGCGAGCGCATGCCACGGCATTGCGTGTCACATGAATGCAGGCTGAGAAG